TCCTTTCTTAAAGTCTGAATTACATGTAAAAAAATCTATTTCTATCTGTTAGTGCATGTTCTGACCTCAAAAGATCAATTTTTTGAATTGTTCTATACTTTTGTGGAGTACTGTATACCTTTTGGAACTTTATACTGTATAAAGTTTTTTTAAAGGCGAAAGTCATTTCAGGTATGTGTGACTTTGTACCATAAAAATGGAACTTCAGTTATAGACTGATACCATAATTACATATCATGAAATTTCTATATTACTTAACACATTCACTGTCAACTTGTTACAGCTGAATGGCTCTCACAACACCATCTTAATTTTGTACAATTTTATTCTATATCTTATTGTGTACATTTTTTAATTTTTATTCTTTCAAATTGAATTTTTCTATTCTGTAAGGCCAAAATTATTTTTTATTCTTCATGTAGATGTCCACTATTTAATAGCACTTATATTTATGACTATATTTACATAACACACTGTATGCCAGATCACCTTTCTACAAAATAATTCGTAGTAGGTGTCCTAGTAAAAACCTTCACCTACAAGTTAACTTATAGTTGGTAGTCAATGTGTTAAACAATGTACTTTATATACTTGTATATTTATAAATCAAGTCATAAGATATATTTTTAATAATCTGGTTTATCAAAATAACAATAATTTTAGAATCTAATTTTCAAAAAGCAACTTTTATATTATAATATAGTGATGGACAGCATGCTAATCATTTATTACAAAAAACTTTTACGATATAAGCGTACGATTTAGGCGGTCGCACCCATTATATTGGTGCAACAACCAGAATGTTAGCTAACCGTATTTTAGAGCATCAACATTCCATCAGGGACGGCAAGAATGACACAGAACTCGCCAGAATGGTACTACAACGCAAGCATACCCCTCTGTGGGATGATGTGGTCATACTAAAACATTGCAACAACAAAAATCTTGTATACATCTGGGAAGCCCTCATCACCAACGTATTAAGGCCCTGCAACACCCCCACACTGGATTTGCCCCCTTTGTGGATCAGCTTGTACAATTATATAAAACATCGCAATTAAATCCACAATATAGAGGCGTCTAGCACATGCGCAGTATAAACGCGCGTGCTTTTTATTTAAATATCTTTTTATATTCTACCGTTGCTGTTATTCCAAAATGTTAATTAAGATTGGAATGTTTTTTAAAAATTTTGTATTCAAAAAAAAGGTTCTTATATCTTCTAATGACCTGAAGAAGACGAAAGCGCTCGTCAATTTAGTGACATACGTGTTTAATTTAACGCTTATATCGTAAAAGTTTTTTGTAACTTTTATATCAATACTTTATAAATACTAGATGAAGAAAAACAGTTTTTAACACATTGTTACAACTAAATGTCTTATCATAATAGATTTTGTAGTTTATAATATTAAAGTAAACAACTTTGAACTATTCAAGAGCTTTTGTTATAAATAGCAATCATTACAAAGTACTTGAATTAAAGCTTATTTAATTTATTTTAATTGTCAACTATAACTATTATCATAAGATAGTTCATTTCCAATTTAAAAGCAAAAGATTTTAAGGATACTGTATATTCTCAGAAATCTGAAATTATACCAATAATAGATGAAAAGATTTACTCTTTCGTTGATGTTAAGCCTAATGTAAACTTTTTAAAATACTACTACTGAATGTTTAAAATTTTCATAAAATTGAATTATGACAGTTTATATTCTTTTTATGATTTATATTTTTTAAATTGTAATTTTATGTAAATTTTACAAAATTTATAAACAAAGATTTTGTAAGCCCATTTTGAAACAAGTAATTATCTAAATTATTTGAAAAAAAAAAAAAAAACATTTCATTCCATTTTCTATATTCTAGAATATTATATGTGAAAACATTTTTTATTTTTGCTTATAGTTTGATAGATCAATCTCCATGACAATGAAATTCTTTTCATGAGCATCTCCAATGATAAACAGCATAGTTTGAAAGAACTCAGACATTTGCTGATTTTTCTGTTAAATTTATTGTCATTAAGGCACTTTATTTTCTTGTACAGGATGTCTATTAAAAAGCAATCCTGGCTAATAGCTCAAAGAACTGTCAGATTCCCATAAACAATGCTTACATTCTACATTATTGAGCATGGGCTATTCATTAGTGTTTTATTGAATTTCTCCCTATTCCCCAAAAAAGAGGGATTAAAATAATCTCAGTTCCTATTGCTGATAAAATTATAGTTTTAATTGTAAAGTTGTGAAGCATATTGAAATTAGTACATTTCACATTTTGTTCAATTAAAAAAGTTAAAGAAGATGCACCATATACTCCCAGTTTTAAGCTCAGGAAAGAGAGAAGAGTGTAGATGGAGGCACACAAGCACATGCTTATGAAGCAGGGCTGTGGAGTTGGGGAGAATTTCTGGCCAGAGGAGTCGGAAAAAATGTGTCGACTCCAACTCCCACATTTTAAATTTACTTTAGTCTTTTTATTTAAATGAAAGAAAATTTATTATATATTTATTAATTTTTTAAAATCTTTTTTGTATTTTGTTATAATTCATTTATTTTAAATACAAAATGCATCAATTTAATTTATTAAATATGTAGTGTTCTTTGTAGTATTTATGTTTAGTAGTTAAATTATTTTGACCCAATTAAATTTGAATATTTTTGAATCATTCCTTTATTATCCCTGCTCTAAATAAGTACTCTATTTTTCTGAATGAGCCAGACTAATTGATCAGAGTACATATTTTTCTTTTCTGAACAAGGGGCTGAAGTAGCTAGCTAGATTGCACACTTTTTAGTTGGACTAACTCTTCTGAAAGGGTGAAATTGAAGTGCAAATGCTGTCAGATATATGTAGATGTAGAATTTTATCACCCCCTTTCTCCTCTTATTAAATATTTGTTAAAATTTAATTAATGTAAGTTAAATATTAAAAATACTAACTATAAAAGTATTTGGGTAAATGCCCAAGGCTGCTTTCAGAGTTCAAAATAGGGTAACCCTATGAGCACCTCTGCCACCTCCTAAAATGACTTGGTAATTTTGCCAGAGTCATAGTCAGCCTACTAAAATTATCAGGAGTTGGAGTCAGAGTCGAGTGTTTTTTACCGACTCCACAGCCCTGGTCCAATCATAAGTGAAAAGATATTCTGTGTGGCAATACCAACTTTTTAAATACTGTAAATCCTCTAATAAATGTCTGGGCACCTATTGGATACAATATACTTAGCCTCTGGCAAATATAAGAGATCCAGCTGCTGTTGGAGACCAGGCATCTATTCCATTATGCAGAATTTTGTGACTAGTGATAAAAAAAAAAAGGGAAAATGTGGTTCAAACTTTTTTCCACTACCACCTCCAAGGTTTCCCCATCCACTCTCACTCCAAAATAATGAAAACTGCACGTAATTCACAAGAAATTTTCCTTTTTATTAATAGAAAAATACACTCCTAAACAACAACAGCACTATCATAAGCATAAAGTTATTATGGTATTACTATATCTACATTTCTCTTGCCTTGTCTATTATCATCTGTCTGGAGATAGTTATTTTTCTCTCACTGCTTACGGATCCACAGCAGAACCTTTTCTATTAATTCTTTGATCTTGCACTCTCCTTCTGCCAGCCACTTTGCTTCACTCTTATTCTTGATAGTCATAAGAGTGTCATTCTTGCTCCTCACTTGCTAATTTGTTTTTGAATTTTCACACTGCTACTTCTCTGGAGTGTTCTTTTGCATACGTAACTGTATTCAATGTAAATACAATGCTGTAGGACCTCTTGGCTGTCATTCTGATTGACATCTATTTCACTGATCTGTGTAAAATGGAGTGTGAAACAGATAATTCAGAAAAATGCACCCACTTATATATTATTTACCATAGACTTCAGTTGCACCCGTTGTTGTAATAAAACCATTTATCAAGGGTTTTCACAACACATACAGAACACTCTGCAGCTTTGCTAGCTGTACTAAACTAAACTGCCTGCATTTATTGGAAGATTTACAGTACAATATGTCAAGTTTGCCAATGCTTTCTCATGACCAAATTCACACATGTACTTTGCAATTACCAATTTCATATGAAAACAGCTTAATCTTATCATCATATGGTACAACTGTTTGACAAGAATGCCATATCCAAGTCTACAATCTATGATTAGATCAGTAAATTTAATGCTGAGCAATATGAAGTCAAAGGAAAACCATACTCAAGGAAGGCATTCTATCCTATTGGATGACAAGCTGAGATAGCTAGTGGAAGTCAACCTATGTCATTAAAAATGTGTATGTTATTTAAAAATTATGTTATTTGTTGTTTATAATTAACATAATTATTGTTTATAATTTCAATAATTAAATTATTTTTAATGCATTTAAACATTATTTCTTATATGGCAATTTTATCATTAATATATTAACTAGATTAACAACTTTGCTATTTATTTGTTTTGATTGAAATATCTAAAAGAAACTGCTTAGATATTAATCATATCTAATTAATTCATATATCATAACTGTATGTACTTTCTAGACTGTTTTATATTTGTATTTTCACTACTACTTCATGTAACATTAGACATAAGCGTGAATATTTGTATTTCATATAACAAATGAAAATACAATGCATCAAATACACAACTTTTGTATGTTTTGGCTACTAATTTAATCAATTATTAACCTAATGTAGTCTGATAAATCTGGCAACTAGATATTTAAATTATATAATTTTTGATTTAGGTCATTCATTTCATAAAATTAATGGCCATAAAATTATTTAGAAAATAATATTTTCTATAACTGGAGGAAACATATTAAAAACTTTCTAAAAATACAAAGTAAATGATAACTTTTGAAAGCTAAAGTTTTATAAAATCCATATTGTAACTCAAAATTTACATTTACTTATTATATGAATTTGTTTATTTTTAAAATTATAGTAATTTTAATAATTTAAATATTAATATTTTAACATATATATATTATTTTACCTGAAATATTATTTTCATTTTTATTTAATTTATGATTACTATTATTGTAAGCCCATGACACATCTTGAATAGTTGTTAGTTGAACAGTGACTTGTTCTGCAAAAAATCCCTTTAAAAAAATTAAATTATTCCAATATTATATTATTATTCAAATATTACAATATTATATTATATATTATTCCAATATCTATGTTTTAGATATAGATATACAATAAAAATACAAAACTAATATTGATTTTTGACAAATTTAATTTTGCTTCTATTATACAGGCTGTAGACAAAAACGTTGCACCAGATTATATCTTGTTTCTGCTATATCATAAGTATGCAAGAGTATAAGTAATCAGTATTGAGCTATTTGATAGTGTAGTCACTATGCATCACTGTCCCATTCTCAAGGAGCCAAATTCATCTTGATTTATCAAAAAATGAATGAGAAAAATTGTGAGAAGTGTCTCTGCTTGGCCTTGTGCACTCGAGGCAATGCCATATGGTTATACCACTCATTTTTTGGACACAATCTAGTCCAGGGGTGGCCAACCTTTTCAGAAGGCGGGCCAATTTCAGGAATAATATTTCCTGCCGGGCCACGCACCTAATTTTTTTTTAATTAAAGTAAACAAGCAAGTGTGCTACAACTTCAACCACATCATCGCTTCCCAGTAGGTGAGATCGTGGTCAAACACTTGCCTGGTTTAATGTAAAAAACACAAAAAATAGGTATATTTATTTTTTTGAAGAAAATAAAACATAACCGAGAATCAAACATATTTATTAGGCAATTTATAAATATTTAAAAGTGAGACATCTGACTTTGTTTTACAGAACTAAGCGCATCAAAATTGATCTCCACTGATGATGTCGCTACACGCAAACAGTTTTTCAAATGAACATCAGTAATTCGTGATCTCAATTGTGATTTGATGTACTTCATGCGACTAAAAAGTTGTTCACACGCATAAGTGTTACCAAATAGCGAAACCATCGACAGAGCATGTTTGTAAAACGCAGGATATTTATTCTTGTCCAAATACGTTTCATAGAACTCTTTCCAAACCAACTTGATGGAATTTCTCCAACGTTTTAGGGTTTACTTACTTATAGAATGGATATGGTAGACAGACTACTTGGTTAAAGTAGTTTGAACTGTACCTGTAATTATAAATATGTTAAATATGTATTTTTAACGTCGATTGCAAAATCTCTCCAGATGCATTAGCGATAATAAAATGAAATTACAGAATAACACGGAACTTTGTCAAGCTGGACTGAAAGTAGTTATGAGTATGAACCCGATAGCATTGCAAGCTTCCCGAAAACGCCGAAGACCAAAGAACATATATAGCAGGATATTTGAAATAGCTAAAAATTTATGAATTTTTCCAAAAATGAAAGATATTTCAAATTTCTCTTAGCTATAATTTAAAAATACATGATATGAATAACTCATGACGTAATGTTCTTTTGGTGATATGTACAATAAAGTTAACATTTACGTTCATTTAACCTAGCTCCGTGGGCCGCAACATGACTCCCGACGGGCCGCATGCGGCCCGCGGGCCTCGTGTTGGCCACCCCTGATCTAGTCCCTTTTCATCTGTTTCAAGTATTCAGAGACAAAGAGACAAAACTCTTATTTCATAAGAGTTGCAATAAGATTTGGCTCCATGAAAAGAGAGATCACAAATGCATGGTGACTAAACCATCAAACAGCACACTACTGATTACCTATATTCTCATGCACTTGTATTTAGCTAATATATAGCAGAAGTAAGATTTTTACCTAATGCAATGTTTATATCTATACCCTGTACACAACAGTTCTTGATATCATTTAACATCAATATTAATTAAAATATTTACTCTTATATGAATAATAATCTTACTCATAAAAAAATTCTACAAAGTCTAAATGTAAACTCATATTTATATTCATTAAATATATTTATGTGAAATTTATGTTAATTTATTTATTTTAGATATTGTTGACTGCAGAGAATAAAATGTACATTTTACCATTTTTCAATGGCACATAATTTATTGTAAAGTTTAACAAATAACTTCTACATTTTAGCAATAATTTATTATTTCCAAGATGTAACTGAACATATATTTTAAATACATTTTCTCTAACAGGCCACGAATGCTGGATACCATTATCTTCATTCAACAGAATTTAAATTAACAACAGAATTGCTTCACACTATAATATGGTTGCTGTCTATTGGTTCTTGTATATGAAACATCTCTAATCCAAAACTTGTTCAGTAGACTGACTCACAGAATTGTGTGAAGACTGACCGAACAAGTTTTGATTAAAGAGACATTTCATATACAAGAACAAAATTGCTATTTGACCTTCTCCTTTTAAACTAAAATATACATTTCATTGATAATGCTAATTATATATAAACCTGTTAAATTTTAATGGATATTTATAAAATTATACATTACATTACCTTCGGCCAAGAACTCATTGCAAAAAATTTATTTATATTGTTGAACCCGTGGCCCATAATTCCATCAGGTGAATGGCCTAAATCAAATGTATGTCCCAATTCATGTAATGTAGCACCAATTCCTGTAGAATAACATGCCCAATATCTTTTTCTATAAATAAATAAAATAATTTATTTTAAATTAATTATATATACTAGATGACGATAGCCTACCTATTTCCACTATCATCCAAATATTTCTTTCTATCAACCACACGCTGATCAGTAAATCTTTGCACTATTTCCTGCAAGCTGGCAGCCCACGTATGCAAGCAACCTGTACCAAACAAAGCAAGTCCTCCTCCTCCTAGAGCTACATATCCTCGTGTCAGTTTCAAAACATCCTTATGATTCTGCGGAATTATGCCAGTCGAATTATCGTATAATGTGAACGAAGCAAAAGCTAAAAATTTATAAATATTCTTATCAGCTAATGGAGACATCATTAATTCTTTTGCAAAATAATTCCACAGTTCTTCTTGAGATAAACTCTGAGCTTCTCGAGTAGTTAATTCGCTCGTAAATAAATGGCAAATAGGTTTACAGTTTTTATCGTCTTCTTCGAGACAAAAAGTTTTCTTTGGAAAATTATGTTCCTTTAATTTTTCTGCCATAAACATCTGTAACATTTGCGCAGCCAAAGAAATCCGACTACATGCACTCTCTACAGAATTATCCTCCTTTGGAGGCGCTTGAAATCTTCCATCGCCATCTTTACATTTTAAATATACCAAGCGAATCTTTCTTCTATTTTTCAATGGCACATAATTTATTGTAAAGTTTAACAAATAACTTCTACATTTTAGCAATAATTTATTATTTCCAAGATGTAACTGAACATATATTTTAAATACATTTTCTCTAACAGGCCACGAATGCTGGATACCATTATCTTCATTCAAGACTGTAATTTTGTCATTGATGTGAAAAACACACTCAATTTTACCTTGTATCATTACTAATGAATGATTTATATCTTCATTATCCAAACAATTCTGTATTAAGATTCCCATAATTAAATTTTGTTAATGATGAAAATATAGCTGTGATTTGTGAACTAAAGATCATATAAAAACTTAAGTATTTTTTTCATGAATTACCTTCACCTAATAACCCACTAGCCTTTTATTTCTTTACCATTTTCTCGGATTTAAAATAACATTGGAGTTAAATAAACCACACTGAAGCAGAATAAGGTAAGGTAATGTCGTATTTTCTTAAATTTTCTTTAATAAAATACTTTTATTCCTTCAAAATCTTAATAGATTTGGCATCGTTGACAATGTTGTTTTCGTGTCCATGGCTCCCTCTACGCGAAAAATTAAATTCGAAACGATGAAGCTTAAATCTTAAATTTAAACGAATTATTTACGATAAATTTTACTACTTTAATATGTTTTAAAATTTACTAAAAATTTATGAATTTTTCCAAAAATGAGAGATATTTCAAATTTCTCTTAGCTATAATTTAAAAATACATGATACGAATAACTCATGAGGTAATGTTCTTTTGATGATATGTACAATAAAGTTAACATTTACGTTCATTTGAACTAGCTCCGTGGGCCGCAACATGACTCCCGACGGGCCGCATGCGGCCCGCGGGCCTCGTGTTGGCCACCCCTGATCTAGTCCCTTTTCATCTGTTTCAAGTATTCAGAGACAAAGAGACAAAACTCTTATTTCATAAGAGTTGCAATAAGATTTGGCTCCATGAAAAGAGAGATCACAAATGCATGGTGACTAAACCATCAAACAGCACACTACTGATTACCTATATTCTCATGCACTTGTATTTAGCTAATATATAGCAGAAGTAAGATTTTTACCTAATGCAATGTTTATATCTATACCCTGTACACAACAGTTCTTGATATCATTTAACATCAATATTAATTAAAATATTTACTCTTATATGAATAATAATCTTACTCATAAAAAAATTCTACAAAGTCTAAATGTAAACTCATATTTATATTCATTAAATATATTTATGTGAAATTTATGTTAATTTATTTATTTTAGATATTGTTGACTGCAGAGAATAAAATGTACATTTTACCATTTTTCAATGGCACATAATTTATTGTAAAGTTTAACAAATAACTTCTACATTTTAGCAATAATTTATTATTTCCAAGATGTAACTGAACATATATTTTAAATACATTTTCTCTAACAGGCCACGAATGCTGGATACCATTATCTTCATTCAAGACTGTAATTTTGTCATTGATGTGAAAAACACACTCAATTTTACCTTGTATCATTACTAATGAATGATTTATATCTTCATTATCCAAACAATTCTGTATTAAGATTCCCATAATTAAATTTTGTTAAGTACAATTATATA